CTGAGTAATGCTAATTGGGTTTTGCCCCAGAGAGAAGGCTGTAGTGTTATTTACTTTAATATTACAGAAGAATCCAAAATTCTTCACATTCTTCATTCAGGTTCTCCTCTAAAATTAGTTCAGCGGCACTTTTAAACTGACATTTTTGATGCCCAAGTGCTCTGTGGATACATATGTCAGGGGACTTCCACYCATTTTAGTAGCTCTGAATTTTAGGACTGTAGGTAGAGCTTTTCAACATGCAGCGGTGTCCTGAAACTGGTTCATATGTGAGAATTTCAGTTTTCATTAACAAGTAAATAAGTTACCAGAAAAGCAACTCTGAAAATACTGAAAATATCACTCTTAAAGTCTTAACCTTAGAAATACAAACTATAAAATATACATATAAGAAACAAGATACSATCTCTATTTAAAACAGGAAGTTTTTCACAACTTTTAATTCTATCATGATTTTTAATTATGCAAAATTTAGTAAATTGCTGCACCACCATAGCATGGTAGAAACAGACTTATCTAATATATTTTGACTTGCCATTCAAACAAATGTCCAAAACACTGCTGACTGAATACAGCTATGCCTGTTCTTCAGGAGTTAAGATTAGATTGTACTTTATTATACCTCAGTAGTACCTCAGCTGGTGCAGACAGTAATTTGACCCACGAGCTCAATCGTGTTCGTACTGAAACTGTTTGTTCTGCCAAACATTCTCATGTCATTCACTGTTCTGGGCAATACTTTCAGAATACAATGCATTTTTGTACAGTATGTTATGTATGGTATTTATTCAGTTGCACTTTTAAAAGAATTACTTGAGCAGCTTACAAAAAGATTATATGACTTTATTTATTTATTTATTTATTTATTTATTCAAAGTCAAGTGCATTTGCTCTGTGCCTTTATGAGGTTTTGAGGTTTTTGGCTTCTTTTTAGAACAATAACATGTTTGGACAATATTTATGACAATATATTGTCATTTTAGTCCTTAACTTTTCCCCCTTCTTTGTTCCATAATCTCCCATTTCAAATGATTCTCAGATGCCCATCTGATGTAAGGTCTTTCTGTCATGAAGCTCTGGTGGAGTCAAAGGAGGCTTGCCTCAGGTGGGATCTACTCCCCTTCTGTTAGGATAGAAGACCCACAGAACTCATCCAAAGACCCCCAGGCTCCAGAAGACTCCCAAAACTCATTTTATTAGGCTAGTGCCACAGCAGAACTTGTTCCTTTCCTAACATCCCAAGTCATGCATCATTCACCGTCACTGACAAATTGAAGAAACACTATTCTAGTGGATTACCAGCAATCTCCAAAATTTGGTCAAGTGACTTGTTTTACTTGAGGCCTTGGATAGTCAAAAGATCCATAAAAAAAWATTATCTTAGACGTTTGCAGAGGGGGAACATGAAAAAAATTGTAGCTATGTATAAGAAAAATCAAGTCTTTCTGGATCCTGTGATGAGGAGGGGAATAACAAACTCCTCTTCATACATATGAGGAAGCAGCTGAGCAGCTTGATACTGCCACTTGTGACTGCAATCCTACGCAGCATAGATTTACTATAGAAATTTAAGTTAGCAAACCAGGATCCAAATTGCTGCAATGGTTTTTGTCTGTGTGTGCATTCACACTATAGTGAGTTGCTTCAGCTGTTTTCAGATGAACCCRTAACACTGGCAGACATACGCCTCAGGCCCATCTGCATAGAAATAGTTACCAGGGTTAGGAATAGTGAAGTGTGCGGGGCAGCTGTGGTAGCACAGCACTCCAAACCTTTCATTAGTCAGAAGAGACAATAGCATTGCACACAGCAGTTGCAGAGAAAACAGGAAGATGCTTTACACCTGAATCAGGGAGAGGTTTTGCTACTTTGAACTCAAAACAAAGACAGCAGGGAAAAATAAAAAACATGATTTTCATACAGCATCCACATTTTGCTGTTTCCACTGTCCATACTTCTTTTTCTTCCTCCTTTCCACAACCTTCTGCAGGTCCCTTAAGCCTTAGGTAAAGCCATCTCTCTTAGCCCATGAGACCGGCAGTGGGAAAAGCATCATGTCTGCAGCTTCTCTCCTAAAGCCTCCTTTGGGATTCAGTCTGCAAGGCATGAGTCTAGTCTAAACATCTATATGTGAAGCTGTGCACTTTCGTGTGCTGCAAGTCATGACAATCCTGGCAATGTTCTCAGTGCTAGTGCTTTGCTGCATTGCTTCTTGCTGCCTATTGTCACACTCCACCAGACTGTTATGGCCTTACAAGAATTCAGAGCGGGGTGTGTGTGTGTCTGGCTGGCTGGCTCTTTGTCTGCCTGTCTGGTTCCTTGTTGTTGACAGTAGGTCAGTATCAGGCACCATGCACACTGTTATCCTTTAGCTGCGATGTCTTCAAGAAGAGGAGAACATAGTGATCTGTTCTTACAAGAGCTCCAAAATGTCTAAATCCAGCTATCATTGATGCTTGCTGGTGTCCATAATTCACCTGTGATGGTTTATGAGGGACTGAAAAAAGACTTAATGATAGAACTTGCAACTTGTTTAATCATGAAGCCAGAAGTCCTATGAATTTCTCTTTTTTATCTTTGGACAAGGTCTCTAGTGATCTTGGTGGTTTAGTTGATACAAAGGAAAAGATTCACCAGAAGTCCTTGTAGATCTCTGTAGTCAGCATACCATGCTAAATTTTCCTTCCCTAAACTACTTACTGAGAGCAATCTGCTTTTGCTGTGATATATGGACAGTGGAATGGGTAAAAGGAAAGACATCATCTTTAAGTGAATGGGGTCATATAACACAGCAACCATCTGAAAGGAAGATACCAGCTCCTGGCACCCTCTCCATCCTAATGTACATGCCTATATCTGGTCATCCCAGGTGTACAACATGAAGTAAATAGTAAATCTCCCTTGTCTTCCCAAATCTGCTTACTACGCTGGGGAGAGTGTTTGACACATGAATGGAGACAAGACTAGTGATGCAATAGCGTTTGCTGGACAAAATCCTGAGGGATGAATGTATCTTTGATGCCAAGTGAGCTTATTTTCTTTCAGAAATATAATACTAAATTAAGGTAGTAACATACTCAGTAAAAAATCAGCAATATATATCCAAAAGCTCCTTATAGCAATGGAGTTCCTTAAACAGTATAACTGGACTGCCTACCGAAATCATGGCACAGATACTAGTTGTCCTATTTAACCATCTGTACTAATGTGAACAGTGCTGATGTTTGTAAGTGGCCCTACTGAAATTTTGGGAATCCTTCTAATATAAAGTTAAAATAAGGTTGATTTGTGGTATTGTATCATACAAAGAAAAATAAAGGCTGACTTGAATTAGAGAAATATGAAAAATCTTTCATTTAATGAAATCAAACTCTTAAAAGAAGCACGTAACTGTTGAGTGAAACCTTAYTGAAATTCCGTTATGATTTTTTCTTCTGTTTCTATTTTGCCTGTTCTTTATTCAGCTATGTTTTTCTTTCTAATTCTGAGAAAAATAGCTGTTTTAATTGTATGTTAATGCAATCAAATCCCTTTAGAGTTTACCCTATCCAATACAGTTGCAAAATAATCAATATTAACAAACTCAGAGGGAAATAGACAAATCCCAGTCCAATCAAAAACAAAAACAAAGCCAAAACATCCATTAAAATAAACAAAAATCAAAGCAATGCACCAGTTAACTGTCTGGTATAAGAATATCAAAACTGTGTCTTAAACTGTAACTAAAGCTCACAATCTGGGCACAACAAGGGGCCAGTTATATTCTTTAATGTGTTCCCTGTTGTGCCTAGTGTTTGAAGTCAACTCTTTAATTTTAATTCTTTCATAAAGTTTTTCTGTTACAATTTTTCTCTGTGATGTATGTGGTTAACAAAATGCATCTTTTCTTTCTTTTCTTTTTTTCTTCATATGATAACATTGCTATTTATCCAATTAATCAGTAGAGAAATATATGCTGAATAGGAATACTTGATTTATTTATGAGCTTTCTATAGAACATAAGACACATTTTGATAATTTCACTGAGACAGTGTAGTGGCCTTTATCAGCAGAATCCTAAAGGGTATCACTTTGAAATAAAAATGAAATATTATTTTGCATAGTCTGAATTCTGAAACTTAGTCTGTAGCAAAGTGATGTTATTTGTATGGTTTTCCTTTGAAATTACAACACTTTCTCAGCTATCTCATTAACTGCTGCATTAAAATCCTACTCCTACCAAAGTTAAACTCCCAAAGTCTTTAACTTATTTGAGATTGTACTGCAGAAATTGTGAATTCTAGACACTACTTTATTTTACTTTTTAATTAAAAGTGTAAGAAAAGATAAATGTCAAAGATAATATTACTGTGTTTTCTACAATAGCTACAAATCTGTACGAATTTTCTTTGTCTTGGAAGACTTAATTGTGCAATTGCTTTAAGATAAAAGTTTCCATCCAGATAAAAGTGAAGTCCCACCTTTTGTCCAAGAATATTTTATGACTGAAGATGAATAGATACTCATAAAAAAGAAAAAAAAATGTGGTAGAATTATAGATAATGGCTTTATGAAACAAGTAGAATGTATTTCAAAAGAATGCAAAACTAGGATTTTATGTTAAATAGTATTTTTAATGTCTTAGTACTTTCAAGATGACTTCCTAGTTATGAAAGCTAACTCTGCTTGAGTAACATTTGTCTTTTGGATGCACACAAATGCATGCACAAATAAAAACACATATACACAGAAAAAAAAAAAGATTTCTGGCAATTTCTTCTAAAAAAAAAGATTGTTTTTTATATTTGCTAGTATTAAACATTATTAAATATTTATGTTAGATATCTGTGAAAATATGTGTTTTTACTGTTTAAATTCTACATCTCAACTATTGAATGTTTCAGTAGATTTCAATGCGATAATTCAAATATGATCATAGATATTATTTTGTTTAAAAAATTAATACTAAGTCTAAGCACTATTTTAAGATACCTTAAAATTTATTATTTCACTGTTGCTAGGTACYGTAAACCACTGACTGGACACTGGCCTGCTTTAGAGGACAACAGACTCGTTGTTAAATGTGGAACAGATATAAACATGTAAGGAAAGGAACTGAATGTATATGTATTCATTTGCTGTATGTGTGGGTGAGAGAGAGAGAGCACTGTGGTATGTAAGTATCAACTGGCAGGTGAATATCACTTTATTCCCATTACGGAAAAGAGAGACATGTTAGCCTAGGCATCTCTGAGGATAATTCATCAGAGGGAGTGTAAGACAGGTGGGAGGACAGCTAAGATGATGTCTGAGATGGGTAGGTAGGAGGAACTGACCCCTGGAGCTCCCTCTGTCTAATGTGGTCTCCGTAATCTTCTCAGTTCTTCCTATGCAGAGAAGAGAAAGAGCCAACTTACATGACTAACGAGGTTGCTTTAGATTGGAAACTTAATTTTTAGATGGCTGTGCTTGGTAAGACTCATCCATCCTACCTGTCTGAGGTGCTTTTGCCAAATACATCACGATTACATACATAGATGATGTATCTGAAAGGGACAGGGGTCAACATTTTATTCTTTTCTTTTTTTTTTTTTTTAATATCTCAGAGCAATCTTGCAATACATCTGTGCAGATCACAATTTAAGTTATGGATCATACTAAGCACTTATTCCTGAATCTTTTCAATTTACATTCATTCATTGTACTTGGCAGTGGGGTACTGTGGCCTCAAAATTGGTCTCATGTTTAGCTCATGGCTGACATCACTCAGGCAATCAAGTGAAAGGACAATTTTCAATGCTTTCCTGAGTAGTTCTGAAAGTAGAAGATACATTTCCAGGTCTCAGATTTCTAGAGCTAAAGTATGACACTAACTGCTACAATACAGAGGAGTTCAGAGGCAACACCTCCACCTTCAGAGGAGTTCAGAGGCAACAGAGCCAGCTTGGAAAGAAAGAGTCTGAAAAAATGCAGGTGATAACAAAAAATTATAAACAACTAATGATATATAGTAATACAATAACATAGAACTGGTCTGTGGCCAAGTGCCCTACAAGCATATGGATCAGAAGTATTCCTTTCTAGTGTAAGATTCTGTCTTTAATCARAAGTACTCAGAGCTATCAGAAAAATAAACCATGCTGTGTCCACGTATCAGGTAAYGTTGTGCTTTCAGATTCCAAGGATGTGGCTCATGCTTCCCTGTGTCCATACATAGAAATATCTTCAGACTTGTGTCAGATGTTTGATATCTGCTTTTCAGGGAAAATTGGGTCAATTTGGGTCAATCTCAAGTACTGAGTAAATACAAGTACTCACAGTGGACTCCTAGCATACCACCTACCATAAAACATAGCGTCCCTAAGGTCTAAGGTGCRTTCCCGGATCTTGCTTTGTTCACATGAAAGCCAGCCACATAGTCAATATCTCTGTTTTTCTAAAAGACAGTGAGTTAAAATGCTTAAGAAACAAGCTCCCTATCCCCAACCTTTTTCCCGACTCCACTAACAACCTACAGAGTGAACAAAAGTTATTGAAAACAGCACGATTTCACACCCCCTGAGTTGCTGGGGGTTTTTTGGCTATAGTAGAGAATATTTTTTAATAGCTTCTTAGTTTATAATACTTTGTATACAATTRTTTCTGTGTCTCATCTCTTCTACTTCTGAAAGTCTGTCAGAGAGACCTGACAGTGATTTAGAGCAGTGTTAGAGAGGGGAGAAGAGTAAACTGTTAGCAGCACAATATCACTTGCTGTCTTGCTGAGGGGAGTGCTCTGTAAGATGTAAGATTTTGTGGTGTTTGAAGAAGAACTCTACCAGGTGGTCAATATGACATCTTATTCTTCAAAGAGGCAGGGAGAGCAATCACTAACTGCCAATTTCTTGTAATCCTAAAACACAAGAGAAAATGTTAAACTTGTATATCTGTCATAATAGACTTTAACTTTTAAGATATATGAAGAATTTAGACCCATATCATTAGTTATCATTATTAACAGCACCTTTAACTTCAAGYTGTAACCTTGAAGGCATTACCAGAGGGTGGTCTTACTTTAATTATTTTATTTTGCCATTGGTAAACATTGGTAACATTGGAAAGAAATAGAGGAGGAAGGAAGGAGGTGAAAGAAAATCTTGTCTCACAGGAAAATAAAATAAAATAAGAAGTGAAAYCAACAATATTAACAATACAGTTTAGGGAACTGTTCATAGAAAGCAGTAAATATACACACATGCAAGCCTACTGAACTACCAAAGAATTTTCAAATTAAATGTATCTTTAAAATTCAGTCTTTTTCAGTTTACTTTAAAATTATTTTCAAAATATAAAATTCTTAAAGAGTTTATATCTTTAATTTTTTTTTTCTGTTCAGAGCTATGGACGTAGATTTTTAAGTGGAAATTATTTGTGTGTTATGACTACTATTGTTTCATTATAGAATTTTATTTTTACAAATGGCTTTATACTTTTCTCTCCAGGAGATAAGAACAGTCACCGTGTGTTAGGCAGACACTGGAGCACTACTCCACACTGTCTGCTGCTTCTTCTCTGCCTTTTGTATTTCTGCAGTCTGTTGAGGGGCTCAAGAAATTACAGCATAGAAATAACCTGTTGCATGAGATRGAAATGCTCATTCAGTGGGTTATTCCCCAAATGGCCAGCAATTAATGTGTTATAGAAAATACATGCTTTGCCTTCTCAGCTAGCCTATTTTTGTAAAAAAAAAAAAAAAAACCAAAAACAAAAAAAACCCACCCTTCTAATTCCCTGCAGCTATAAACAATGTCAAATGATCTGTGGGCTACATTTATGCTGGTAAATAGAGTAGTCCTGAGGCCAGATTGCATGACGCGGCAACATCCGCCTCATGCAGAGCTTCCCCTTGGCTCCGTGCAGCCCCAAAGACATGAAAATTACCCTTTGGTCCACAATGTCAGAAACAACATGAGGACAGTCATGTGGTACATTGCAGTAAAGCTTTTCTACCAGGAAAGGTATAATAAGTTGCATGCCCTGGTATGTGGTCCGAAAGCAGAACGTGAGGTTTCAGACTTCTGGGAAAGCGTTGGGGGACTGTATAGGGTGTAGGATCATAGGTGGTGAATTGGACAGGCTAGCTTGTCCTGGGGAACATGCCTTTAGCTAAATAGCATGTACARCTTCAGGGAGTCTGTGCGTGAGCCTGTGCCATTGTTTATTTCCTAGTATAAACAGATACCACAGGCTACATGAAGCCTGTAAAGCAGTTGAGTATCATTGGATCAAAAGCCTTTTGATATGAATTGGGGTCAGAAGAGTAACCTTTTCTTTTGGTAGTTGCTATTTTTCCAAGCCTTTTCAAAGACAAGGAGCATTGCTTGCTCAGTCATATGCCTCTGGCCTGTCACTATCATCATATATCCTGGAGAAATTTCTCCACATCAAATAAAGTAAACCAACAAGTGGCAGATTTGATTTCAGAGGGAAAGAATCTTTATTTTTTTACTTCATAGCCTTCAAAATAAAACATTATAATGTGTACACCTTCCTCATATCTCAATAAATCCCATTTTTTATATTGACTCTGTTAGTGGTGTGACGTATAAATCTGGCTTTCAGTTCCATGCTTTATCTTAGTAAAATACTTTTGATAGAAGAGAGATATTTTCCTAGTCTCCCTGACAATATCTACTAGTTCTTTTATCCTCCAGCATGTAAAACAAAAGTCAAGCAAATGGTCTTGCTGTGGTGACTAAGAAAAGAAATGAATATCCAGCTTGGACTTTTGCTCTCCATGCTCTAATATCAGATGTCTAAAATATGTCCTAATAGTTATTCCACAGTCCTTTAATACCAATTTTAAAGTTTTTTAACTATGTGTATTTTATACCATTTTTCTGTATTTTTATATATATTCTGTTCTGTATTCTGATTTATACCAACATTCTTGTTAGTGATTTTATGATTATTTGCTTATATGGATTTTTTTTCCCCTCAAGATTTAGTATTTGGTTAGAAAGAAAGGATTCTAGTTTTTATCTTCTTGCATTTTTTCATCAATAAGTTCACAAGAGACCAGTGAATGGAATGATTGCTCGGCTGATTGTTGCACTGCAGCTCACGTACACTGACGCATGAATAATTTAAACTATGCTGGCTTGTCAGTATTGAATTTGTATGTGGTGTGAGGAGAGCACAGAGGGAGGTTTCAGATAAATTGTAGAGCAGAAAAAAAGAAAAAAAAAGTCTCCCAAAAGAGTGGATCAAGGGTGAAGAGAAAAAAAGGCTCTATTGTAAACAGAGCATCAAGAGAGAAGGGAGGGTAAATCCTATCATTCTTGTCAAGGAACTGTTTTGGATAGCTGGTAACTTTAAAACAAATTGCATCAGCCTACAGCATTGTTCATATCATCAGCGAGGAAAAGGAAAAGATTTTCTGAATTCAGTGGGAGTGAAACCATTTTGAAAAATGTTTTTCAAAAAGATGTTACTTTCTTTTCTTCTGAAATCATGACTTTAGATAGTAACAGTTTAATAGGACATGGTAACAAAAAAAAAAAAAAAAAAAATCCAGCTCAGCATTAGGAAATAATACACTCAAGGTTAAATGTCACTAATCTGTCAGTTGCTGTGATTAAAGAATGGAGAAAAACGGAACTTTGTTTTGTGGTTATTTCTAACTTTCTGAAATTCAGAAGTGCTTGGAAATCTCTAGTGAAGAATCAAGCAGGGAAATAGGTTTTCTGGGTGAAGATTTTATTGTGATCATTTATATATGGGGTCCAGGGAGTCTGTAAAAAGTATCAGACAGCAATCCCCTACTTTCAGGGTGTGCAGTCGCTTCTGTGCAATAAAAAGCCTATTGACTGAGTCCAACCTGCACATTTCACTGCCAGACTAAGTGACTGGGAGGATCCCACTGTGTAATTCCAAAGGTTTCTGTATGTACTGTAGCTAGTGCAACTGAACAGAAAAAAAAAAAAAAAAAAAAAAAAAAAAAAAAAAAAAAAAGGAAAGAAAAAGTTTAAAGAAGTCCAAGATATTCATTTGCAAATAAAAATAAAAAAGCTGGAGAGACGGCACAGCGAGGCACAAACGGTCCTGGAGGTTTCTGCAGTGC